CCCCCGCTCCCCCCCCCCCCCCCCCTTCAGCGCTGTTTCGCTGTTTTTGGATCCCTGCTGCCTGTGTGGGCTGAGGAAATGGGGTTCCGAGGAGAAACTGCAGGGTGGGAGGGGCGCAGGAGGGAGTGCTGCCTGCTGTCAGGATGGTCGAGCGGTGAGGGGGAGAGAAGCCACGCACGCAGCTGTCAGGATGACCGAGCGGGGAGGAGATCGGAGCCGCTGTCAACCTGTCAGTTTCAGGATGACATCGGCTCTGTGCGTGGCAGAGCGGGGGATCGGTAAATATCATTCATATTTACCGGTACTATTTGTGTGAAGGACAAACACTGGAGCGATCGTCTGATCACTCCGGTGTTTGTGAATAACTGGGGACACATAGTACTGTGTCCCCAGTTATGAATGAACAGGCTGTGATTTACATCACTTCCTGTTCATTCAAGATTTCCTCTTTGGGATAAGCACTCACTACAGAGGCTCCTCCTATTCAGAATCTGGTGATAGTAAATATTTTACTATCCCCAGTTTCTGAATGAATGGGAAGCCTCTGTACTGAGTGCTTCCCATTCATTGAGTGCTGAGGCTGCTGAAAAAGAAATTGAGGACTTTGTGTCCTCAATTTCTTTTCTATTTTAAAAGGGAAATGTCAGGGGTCTGTTTGGACCCCTAATATTTCCCTGAAGCCCCCCAACACTAAAAAATAAATAAACAATAAAAAAATAAAAAATAAGAAAAAATAAAAAAAGTAAAAAAAATATTTTAAAAAAGTGAAAACTGCCCCCCCTCACCCCCCCTCAACACACATATTATTAGACATGTGCAAAAACTAAAAATTCATTTCGACTCTATTTTAGTTTGACATTTATTGTTTGCCTTCTGTTGTTTTATTTGATAAGAATACTTATATTGTGCTTACAAGTTTAATAACTTTGAATAAAAGTTTTATTTTTATCATATTTTTTATTATGTTTCTTTGCGGCTTAACGAAATAGGAGTCTTTAAATGGTGCAGATATTGGGGGAAATGGGTGTGGTTACTGGGGGTGTGGTCACTGAAGGGTGTGGCCACTGAGGGGTGTGGTCACTGAGGGGCGCTGTAAAGCTTTCTCGCACAGGGCGCCTAAAGGCCCAATTTTTTAAATGCATAGCTAACAAAATAAGAAACAAAATGATTGGAAAAAAAAAGTAGAAATATGGTTGGTTAAAAAAAAGCAGCAAAATGATAGCTAAGGGGAGAAGAGGAGGACCAAGTTCATTAGGACTGATTAGAGTTACCTGAGGGAAGGGAAGAATGGGTTAAATATGGGCAGCACTTCTGCCTTGCAGCGCTGAGGTCCGTGATTTGAATCCCAGCTAGGACAATATATGCATGGAATTTGCATGTTCTCCCTGAGTTTGGGTTTGTTTCCTCCATGATCTCCGGTTTCCTCCCACATTCCAATGACATGCTGGTAGGTAAATGGCCCTGTATGTATGCATTTGAGATAGGGACCTTAGATTGTAAACTCCTTGAGGGCAGTGACTGATATGAATATTCTGTATCTAAATACCTATAATATTTATTTATTTTTACTTGCAGGGTTACATTTAGGCCTTGTTCACACAAAGCGCGTTCCAGGAGCAGAGCAGTTACAGACCGGAGCAAAACTGCGTTCAATGTATTTCAATGGTATTTTTAGCTCCAGTTCACATCGCAGCGTTCCATTCCAGAGCAGGTCCAGAACAGGTTAAAAAACTGCTGCAGGCCCTATTTTACCTGCTCTGGAACGCATGCAAATGCATAAAAAATGCATGCAAATGCCCTGGAACGCACTGAAAGCCCATTTTAAACTAAATAAATATTTATTTATTTTTTACCAAAAGCGGCCCGGAACGCATCAAAAACGTGGCAAAAACGCAACACAACCCACTGCACTGCGTGTGGAGAAACTCATGCAGATCTGCTCTGCATTTGGTGTGAACAAGGCCTAACTGACATCATATGCATATCCAGATCACCCGTTATCTGCTATGAATAAATCACAATATATACAATGTTGCACAATAACATGACATAACATAATACATAACAACAATAAAACTAGTAATTCTTCTATCTCTGCATACACTGTTTTGCTTGTGTCACTTTACACAGACGCAGAAAGATATGCTTCTGTTATAGTAGACAAGTCCCAAAATGACAACCAGGATTTGCTGAAAAACACAGCCACAGAGTTGGGGAGGAGTTTAGAGCAGGGTGGACTACACATGTCCAAAGTATGTAGATTCAATTTTTTGGGCTTGTGTGACATGCCCAAAGTCTAAGGCTGGTTAAATGAAAATGTAGCCCCTGCCACCTTCAGTGGAGTGGCTATGAAAATTTAGAATTGCTAATGTGTAGTCTGTTATCAATTTGGTTATTCTAGGTGTTCTGCTGTTGATGGCACCTGCCTGTGAGTGGGGTGTGACTCTGCATTAAAACAAAAGTCCTTAAAGTGACTGGTGCCAAATTTGTTGATCACATGTCCCTTCATTGGCAAAGGATCTGCCCCTGAGAGTGAAATGTCAGCCCTCCCTACTCTTTAGGGGTCCACCTCAGGCCTCTGGGGTTCAGAGGGGCACTACAAAAACTATTTTGGTTGTGCATCAATTTTATTATTGTTAGAATACACATTATTGTATCTATTGCAACGACTACTGCAGTATACAAAATTTGGCCAGTAGATGGCAGTGTTTATAAATTCTGTTATATCCATGGTATATCCTCTGTTGTATTAAATAAGGTAGAGAATAAAGCTGTGGCTTCCTTTCTGTGTTTTACAAGCCATGTGCAGCATGCATATCTGACTGTGTGCTTGTGTTTCTCGGTGAGGCTGTGCAAGAAGTTCCAACAATTATATTTTATTATATTTGTTTTTTTCAAGTTTATCATTTTTTTAACAGTTGCTCTGTAACTGTTTTTTATTATACATGAATATACAATCTTTGTTTTACAAATAAATGTCTAATACAGCCTGTACTAGTGATACTGCATTCACAGACAGAAATAAGTGAATGTGCTTGGGTTCGGTTCGCAGACCATTTGGTATCTGAAAATTGCAAACTTAAATCCAAATTCCAATAAAGATTATAGGTAGCGAATCTGGAAAATCAATTCCAGACCTTTTCAAGGCTAATAGGCACGGGATTGTAAAACAAAGGGCATGGAGAGCTCGGCACTGTCCTGGGGGACATGTACCAATACAAAATATGTTTAAACATACAATTCAGTGGGGAGAGGGTCGTTGTTTATGTGACTTCAAGAGCGACATGGAAAAAAACACAAATTCTTTCAAATTACATGGTGTTATAAAAAAGTATGATTCTCATGGGCAGCGTCAGCAACACCTTATTCTGACATCACAACATAATTTGCATGAGCAATACATTTTTATACCTTTACATTATTGATTGGCTTTAATACAGCAGCATCAGCGATCCAATGAGATTTATAGATAAAAATTGATTTTTTGGTAGTTTTGGATGTAACACCCTTTTTTTTCTGAGACGCCGCAGCTGAAGCGGATCTCAACAAATGTGCCGGGATCCGCCCAGCTGTGTGACTGACAGCTGGCTCTGCCTATCTAAAGGCAGAGCCAGCTGTACCCGCCCCCGTCCGTTCCGCCAGTCAGCGCTGGCGGATCGGGGAGGGGGGAATCCAGCCCCTCCCCTGTCACGGCAGAGAGCCGTGACAGGATCGAGAGGTGAGCAAACGCCGGTATGTGTTCTCTCACCTCCCGATCTACTGAGCTGACCTGTGACAGTCTCATTGTCACAGGTCGGCTAGAACTATGAGGTGAGTGAAAATCACTCATCTCATAGTTCTCCTTTAAAGCATGATCTGTGCTTTATCAGCTTCTTTGGGGTCCATAGGTGACATTAAGGGTCTAATTGACCCCTAATTTCTCCATAAAGAGGACCGTGTTACCCCTCTATGTAATGCAGCAATTACGCAATGAAGTTAAGTGTAAAAACAAATGTAAAAAATGTAAGTGACATATAAAAATCAAATAAAAAAGCCCTCCAACCCTATGTACACACATCCACAAACATGCATCAGGTGTCCCCAGGACAGAATGTGAGGGGAAATTTCTCTAACAACAACACATACAGAAGTAAAAATACAGAAGTAAAAATACTTCTTTAAGTTACTAAGGGAATGCTAGAACCTCTGTCAATTTTAATTGTCGTCTGTATTCCTGTGGCAGATTTTCTCTCACTTCCTGTCTGGTGAAAGGTTGTCCCAGAACAGGAAGTGAGGGAAAATCTCATGAAGACAGCCCCAGATAGCAGTAAAACATTACAGAAGTTTACACCTTTCCTCATTCTATCTGAAAACTAATTGAAACAAATCTGGATATAGAAACTTTTTAATTCAGCACTTTAGATGTGTATCATAAAATTTACAAGAAGATCAGGAGGACACTGAATACATCTGCGCGTAAAATAGAAAATCCTTTAAGGTGGAAATATAGTGATATTTTTTCTATTCAGTTGCTGGGAATAATTTTTGATGTGACCTCATGGGTACTGTTCCATATTTTAATTTTTGTATTTTATAAACAGATTAATAAATGCTCCATCAAGTGGTCACCTGTATAATAGTGACAGGGATTACCATCCCAGCTTAATATCTGTTAAATAAATAATTATATAATATTATTATAAAATAAATACATTTAATTAATTGTCTGGTGTAGTGGCTGAATCCAGTAGCCAGCAGCAGGGATTCCTCCCTCCATGCTGTTTAGTGTGGATGAGGAACTTGATGGATTTCTCTTGTTCAGTAGAGTAGAGTGTATGGCCAGCGTTTGCCTAGCCATACACCTTTAGATTTCTCTTGTTCTCCCCTGCCGGCTATTGTTTCCAGGGAGCTGGCACCCATGACTGTCTGAATACCCAAACAGTGATGGCATCTGATGGATGACAATTTATTGTTATTTACTGAATACACATGAGAGCAGCCATCTTTCTCATTACAAAGTCAGGTTCTGATCCCTGCTTTGCAGTGCTACAAGATGGTTGTGCTTCTCCCACTATGAGTAGGCTGACTGAAAACAATGCACTCCCTGTGAGGCTGATATAGTATCTTAACTGTTGCTAAGAGAAAGACAGAGTGATGGCATTGAGACACTGAGAGTTTTCTCTAGTTACTAAGCTATAGACCTCTACATTTAAACCAACTCCAGACAGTCTTTGGTTTTAGATAATGTGAAAACCAGCTAATACCTGTGTCTGGTTTTATTGATGTCTGTAGCTCCATTAGGGAGATTTCTACTTAAATCCTGTTTGGTCTTAACAGCAAGTACACAAATATTCTCCAATGGGGACAAAGACCGCATTAAAAAAACACATTTCCTGGAACAATGCGTTAATACACAAGCATGAATTTTTAGAAGAACAATTTTGTAAAACAAAAAAGTAATATCCAATATTACTTAAATTTAATACTGTAATAATGACTCAAAATATGCAGTCATGAAAATATACTAGACCTTCCCTTTAAGTGGGCAGGTACTACCATAATGAATTGATTTCCCAGCATAGACAGTTAGCACCGTCTTTTGTTACCATTACTATACATAGTGCAATGGGGTTTTTGTTTTAGAAAACTGTAAGTCTATTGGCTAGGCCAGCTAAAAGGGAGGGCTTGGGAGGCTATTTAAGTGGTGCATCTGGAGCTGACGGTTAGAACTGGCTTTCAGACTAGACATGAGCGATTAGTTTCGTTCCGAATTGAAATTTATATGAATTTCTGTAAATTCGGACATTCGGATGCATTCGAATTTCCGAGTAACAGAAATAAAGAATCCGAACGTATACGAATGTTTGATAACAAAATTAGGATACATCCGAATTTCATTCAGATTGAACCACAGAAGTGGGAGAGCTGTCATTTACAACTCTCTGGCTGAGAGATCTGTGTTATTCTGTAACAGCTTCTGCTGTGACAGCTGTCACAGAATACGGTAAATTGTTAAACAGTACACAGATATAATAATAAAACAAAAACAGCGTGCGGTTCCCCCGGCAATTCAAACCAGACCCTTTAGGTCTGGTAGGAATTTTAAGTGGGACCCCAACACCAAAAAAAAGTGGAGTCTCCCTTAAATCCCGTACCAGACCCTTAATCCGGGCAGCAGCCTGGCAGGGCAGGAAAGGGAGGAACGAGCGAGCAGCACCCCTTCCCTGCACCATACCAGGCCACATGCCCTTGGCATTAGGAGGGCGATTTTCCAGGGGGGACCCCGTGAAAAAGTACCTTGTCCTCATGCTGATGGGGTTCAAGGGCCTCTTCCCCACAACCCTGGCCAGGTGGTTTATTTATTTATTTTATTTATTTATTACTGGTATTTATATAGCGCCGACAATTTACGCAGCACTTTACATAGTTGCACATTGACATCATTCCCTGCCCTCAAGGAGCTTACAAACTAAGGTCCCTATCTCACATATATAGGGGGCCAACATAGGGAGGAGCCAATTAACCTTCCAGCATGTCTTTGGAGTGGGGGTTCTGGGGGTCTGTGGGCAGAGGGGCTCATCTGCATCTGGGTACGCCCTTTCATATAGGGGCACCCAGATGCCGCCACCCCTTGTGAATAAGTAAGGAGTACTTCTCTTTGCTGCTCTTCCTTTTAAATCCTCATGTCTTCTCATGCTGGAGGAGAACTTCCCTTTGCAGCTGAGTGCCTCTTCCTGTAGTGCTGGCTCAGGTTGTGAACCTGCACACAGACACCATGTATCCATTTCAGAGGCAAGGCAGTCTGCTGCAAAACAGAAGTTCTGCAGAGCATGAGAAGAGATACGGATTTGAAAGGAAGAGCAGCAAAGAGAAGGGAAACTACCATGGATTACAGTAAGGCACACATTACAGTATTGTTTTATGTTAAAAAATCTGATTGTTTAATGTCACTTTAAATCAAATGTAAATAAATATACAACACCTTAGAAAAAAAAATCCTTTAATTAACCCCTTCCCGACCGATGACAGGATTATTTTATCACAGTCTCACAGTTCATTAACGACCGGAGACAAAATAATCCCATCATGCGGTACAATGAGCGCTGGTCCGTGAAGTTTACATGAGGAAGATGGAAATTATGGTCAAACAAACACATAGCAAAAATGGCACAATTGCTCCGGTCCCCAGGAACGGAAACATTTTCTGAAGCTGTGTCACTAAGGGGTTAATTGAGCAAAAAACACATTAAAAAAAATCCCACAATGTCAATGCCCGCTGGCCATGAAAAAAACCCAGAATAGACTGCTGGCAGCCAAAAGCAGGCTGGCTAATGCACCCACTTCCTGATGTTAATCACGGAGGAGCCCCTAAGAGAGAAAGGCTATTGGTACTGCACATGAGCAGGCCTGAGAAAGAAAGTTCTCTCTCAGGTCCGCTCCTCTGTGACTGACATCAGGCATGGGTGCATTAGCCAGCCTGCTATTGGCTATTTCAATTTTAAATAGCCAATAGCAGGCTTTGTTTATTTCTGGCCACTGCCCAATGTAAACATTGTATTAGGCAGCCAGTGGCGGGTGTATTTTGTCGTCGGTCGCCGGGCATCGGGATTGACATTGTAGGACATATTTTTTAAATAAATTGTCAAAAACTTGTGTTATGTTTTTTGTTCAATTAAAGGATTGTTTTCTAAGGTGTTGAATTTGTATTTACATTTTATTTAACTCTTTAGTGAATTAGTAGGGGTACAACTATCCCTTACTCGTTCGCAAGGGGGGGCGGCATCTGGGTGCCCCCTTTATGAAATAGGGTACCCAGATGCAGACAAGCCCCCTGCCCACAGACCACCACAACCACCGGGCCAGGGTTGTTTGCGAAGAGATCCTTGACCCCATCGACATGGGGACAAGGTACTTTTCCAGGGGCCGGCCCCTGGAAAAGCACCTTTCCAGTGCCAAGGGCATGTGGCCTGGTATGGTGGATGGAGGTAGAGCGCTCGCTCATCCCACCCTTTCCTGCCCTGCCAGTGACATTTAATGTCACTTTTCTGCAATTAATTTTTGTTCAAAATGACCATTTAACTCATCCGAATTTAACGAAAATTCGTATTCATCCCAATCTGAATGCCGAAACGAATTGGCTGACAAAATAAATAATGAAACAACCTAGATAAAACAAAACTAAACACCTTTTTTGATGGCTTACATGCCTATTTCAGACTATTTTGCATAGTTGGGTAGTCAAAGTTCATCTGTAACTGGCACAGGGAATTTTCATCAATTGCATGTTGATTTATTTGGTGTTATGGTTAAGCTAACTCCATATAGCTGTGGTCTGGCCTTTCTAATGCAAACAGAGACAGAGTCCTTATTTGGCCAAGGCCCCTCTTCCTTCTTTTATATGCCTTTTGGGATGGTGCTTTCTGTGTAGCACGCCATGCCTATGCTTGTTAGCATTCAAGATCATTAAATCTAGCTGTAATATTGAAGAATGTTCAGCTAGCACAGTATATTAGAGATCTAAAATGTTAAAAGATTAATACAGCTTTGACTGTGTGGCTATGTTTTCCCTTATGTTCGGTCAAACAGGATTCATTTTGGCCATCAGTCTTTGTAAAGCTTGCTTTACATCCTTGTTCCTCAAACTGTATATGAAAGGGTTCAACATGGGGGCTAGAACCATATACATAACACTAGCCACCCTGTCCTTTGTCAATGAGTAGCTTGATGAAGGACGGAAATATGTAAACATGATGGTTCCAAAATAAAATATCACCACAGAAAGGTGGGAAGAACAAGTAGAGAAAACTTTACTCCTTCCCCCTGCTGAGTGGATCTTAAAAATGGCCAAAATAATATGGATATAAGAGACCAGGATGAACAGAAATGGTCCCATTACCACAATGGAGCCTTCAGTGAAGATTACCAATTCATTGATGATTGTGCTGGAGCAAGACAGCTGAAAGAGTGGCACCATGTCACACAGAAAGTGGTTTATTAAGTTGGACCGGCAGTAGGAAAGCCGTGAAGTCAAAGTTGTGTGCAAAATCGAATTTGCTGTTGAAAGCAACCAGCAGCTAGCAATGAGTTGGATTCTAAGCCTTTTGCTCATGACCACCGTGTAGTGGAGAGGGTCACAGATGGCTACATATCGATCATAAGCCATGACGGCAAGCAAAAAGTCTTCTACGTTGGCAAATGTCAAGAAGAAGTAGATCTGAGCCATGCAACCTTCAAACAAAATGACTCTTCTGTTCAGATCCAACAGGAAGTTTTTTAGCATTTGAGGAACTGTCACCAAAGACAGGCAAATGTCTACAAAGGACAAGTGACCCAAATAAAAGTACATTGGGGACTGCATATTAGAATCCCAGCAAGTCAACACAATGATAACCAAATTTCCTGTCACAGTGATCATTAAAATGAGGAGAAAAACTGCAAAAAGGGCAGTCTGGTATTCATGGATATCAGAGAATGTTGATAAGACAAATTCTGTTATTAAAGTAGAATTTTCTGACTCCATATTTCCTTCTGTTAACATTTAGGCTTTGCAATGAAAGGCAACTTAAAAACCTTTATTTGCAATAGCTACTTTAGTTCTCAGGTTTGTGCATTCTGTAGGAACAAAGAGCATTGCAAAGCTCTATTGTTGATTTCTATTGTCATTGATTTTATGACCATCTACATTCTTGATAATGTTCTTGTGATGCTTGCTTATAGTTCTACATACAGATGTCAATAAAAATAAAGGAGCTCTATTAACCCAAGACTGAAAATATATAACATTTAATACATACACGGAAAATGCTTGGTTTACTATATCTGCATATATAACATATAGATGTAAACATTTTAAAGCACACACCCTCAGCACCACATTTCTGTTTCCCTGGACTGCAATCTTACTTCATGGCTGATGAAGGATAACAAAACGGCAACCCTATGATTTTGTTAAAGTAGTAATAAACTCTTGAATGTTTTTTTAAATCATAAATCCAGATCAATCAAATATACATTGCCTTGAAAAGTATTTCTTTAAATTTCTGCCCAAGCACTTACAGTCATCATGTTTCCAAACAGCTGGCTCCAACTCTCTCAGCTCAGCTCAGCTTCACCGATCTTCCTGTTGAGTTCAAGATCACAAGGGACAGCACAGTCTCCAGTAACTGTCCATCTAGTATCTTGGAAAAGGGGGAAAGAAGGAAGGAGGGCAGGGTGCAGTAGAGTGTCTTGTCTTGTTGTGTCTGTGGAGACACACACAGCTTACTGGCACACACAAGCTCCATATGGCCTTGCAAGGGAAAGGAGCTACCCTAAAACAGTATATCAGGGAGAGTACTCTGGAGACAAGTTGATTCTGCAGGAGACTAAAACTTTTAAACATCAAGGGGTGGCATCCATTGTATGTGATTTAATCAGCATTTGAAATAGGTAAAAACTTTTTGAGTTTAATATCACGTTAAAGGTATCCTTTTCTGAGAGAAATATGGAGGTAGCCTTTCCTGACCTCTTGAAAATGCTTTTTGACTAGCTATTTATATTTTCTCAGCAAGTTAGATCAGGGTAAAGTCAAAACATCTGATCTATCTACGTGTTCCAGGTTGGAGATCAGAAAGTACTGAATCTTATGTGATCACAGTGGTCATGATACTAGCCATCCCAAAAGCATTTTTTAGAAGGAGTCAGCAATGGCATCCTCCATATTTCATTAAAATCATTCTTTTAAATTGACTGAATCCATGGCAGGTAGACCAGCTGGAGCATGAAGTAAACAAATGTGATATTGATAAATTAACTTTCTTACCCTGAAGACAGCTGTAGTATGCATGGTGGCAATATCAGAAAGTCAGAACTTATTACAGTAAATTCGGATAAGGTGCCACTCTCTAAATGGATCTACCATGTCTGTCTCAAAAATATGGAAAAATGCAGACTATGTTTTTAAATGAATACATTTAATAAATATTGAAGGTTAAAAAGAAATGTTAACAGGGTTATTCACAAAAGGGTGGAGAGTTTAGAGAAGGCAGGAGTAGTTAACAATCTAGGACAAAATAGCTAATTTGGAAACATTCTCCAATTCAGCTCACTTTCCAGTTCAGCTATGTTGTCCTAGATTGGCCACTTCTCCTGCTTTCTCCAAACCCTTCACGCTTTTGTGAATAACCCTGTATGTGTCTTTTTAAGATTTATTGTCTTGTGAAAGTGGATATTTTATGGACATATACTTCTTTGGCATGTAATCTAGAAAAGGAAAAACAAAAAAGTTGAACCACTACTAACAATATGAGGTTGGTTTACTAAAGGTAAATAGGCTGCTTGAATTGCCATGACATTTTTCCTTAGCTTAGTAAATGTGGTGAAGAGTAATTTTTGCATAGAATATCAAATCATGTGCAAGGGAAAAAAACAAACAGTATTTTTGCTTGTACGTGATTGGATGATGGACGTCAACAGAGCTTCACATCATTCAATAAGTTTAGGGAAAATCCCCACGTATATATGTGGAAATATGTCATAGAACTTATTATAGAAAATAACTAGAATTACTTCCAGTTCTGATAAGTCTATTATTCACTCGCTAATTAAACAACTAAAAGTGCTACAAAATTTTTTTTGTACTATAAACTAATTAAAAATGTGGGCTTTCCTGCCCCCTTTACAATTATGCATTTTCTGCACTCACAATCTTTTAGCAAATGTAGCTGTGTTTGGCTAACAGCAGATCATTTCTTTTTTAGTGTCTTACTTAAGGCTTATGCATGCCACAGAGGAATTACATGTTTGGCATCTTATCTGCTAATATGTATACTGCAAGGAATAATGCCATTCTGATTGATCTCTGGAGAAATGCATTGTGGGAATACCAGCAAATATTCCAGATAATTGGTAAAAATAATTTTGTTAATTGGCTTAAGACATTTTTAATACCAATTAGGCACTTTGTGGGTAAAAAGCACAGGAACCCTCTTTTAAAAGTAATCACCAGAGAAAAAACAGTAAAAGTGGGACATGATAAAGATTCCTTGTTTTATTTCATTTGTACAAAACATTAGGGCCAGTTCACACCAGGTGCAGTAGTGATGCAGTCCGTTCCGTTTTTCATCTTCATCAAAAACACATCACAGTGCTTTCCTATGGTATTTCTTGTGCTCTGTTCACACCAGTGCAGCCAGAAAAAATACTGCTTGCCCTATTTTAGCTGCATTGGATAACGACGGAACACAATAAACTCATCAAAAACGCATGCAAACGCATCGGAACTCACCTGACCGCTCCTGGAATCACATTTTAAGCAAATAGAACAACAAAAACAAGACACATCAATCGCTGTGAAATTGCGGCAAAACGGATTGCACTACAGCTGTACAGACACATGCAGTTCTGGTGTGAACTAGCCCTTACTGTGGATTTTTAAGAAATCTGAATATCCTTGTGGTCCATTTCACTCCCAGCCATTGCAGATTGCTGTATAGGCCTTTATGGGAACCCGGTAGGACCTGAGTCTTATGTGCTAATCACAGATCCTCTATGCTAAAAATTATATTTACCCCTACTATGACCTAACCATCTGCTGCAGTTGGTAGGTGAAGGTGCAATGGAATGGACCGGCAATTCCCTAAATAACTGGTGCTTTTGTGTATGTGAACGCTGGAAGCTGTACAGTACATCTCTGTGTTGTGTTCTCATTTGAGTACGCTTATTACTATAACTCATTTGAGAAATTACCCCTGTTGTAGATGAAGTTGGAGAAGTTGTAAGTGCCTAAACTTATGCAGATTTTTTTCAGCAAAAATAAAACAAGGCATAATTGTTAAAAGGGAACTATGATGGTTTTGAGACAATTTTATTTTATTTGTTTATTACATTTTTTTAAACTAACATTTTCTACCTTTTAATTTTACAATATAAATACAATCTTTTTGCTACAAATTAGCTTTCAAAGCCTAACACCAGTCACAAGATTTTTTTTGTTTTGGAAAAAGTGGGGAGGGGCTACAACCACTATACGTTTTGTTTTTATTGCCATTGTCACACACACTTTTAAAGTTGACATGTTGGTATCTATTTAGTCAGCGTCACCCCATCTTTTATATTTTACCAATAAAATAAGGGTATTATATTGTGTCTGTGTGCACTAAAATTAATTTTAGTGTCTATTTTCCTAAAAATATCAGTTTAATAAACATATGTGCAAATATCATGCATTATAGACAATGCAGCTATCATTTTTTTTATTCTACAGGGCCTCTGCTTTCAGAAAATATATAGTTGTTTGGGGGTTTAAAGCAATTTTCTATAAAAAAAATTCAGATTTTAACATGTTGGTGCAAAAATCAAAAAAAATCTCCAATACTCAAATTGTTAATGACAGCACGGTGCAGGCATTCTGTCCTGTGTCTCCTCCCTCCTCTTCCATATATATAATTACAATTATTTATATATATCGCCAACATATTACGCAGCGCTGTACAATCGTTTAGACAAGACAAGTAAGAAAGACTGACAAGCATCATTGACATACAGAAACAGTAGGTGAGGAGGACCTTGCCCAAACCAGCTTACATGTATACAGTGCGTGCATTCTGTCTTGTATCTCCTCCCCTTCCTTTTCCTCTGTGTACAGTGTGGGCATTCTGTCCTGTGTTTCCTCCCCTCCACCCTCCTCTGTGTACGGTGTGGGCATTCTGTCCTGTGTCTCCTCCCCTCCACCCTCCTCCTCTGTGTACAGTGCAGACATTCTATCCTGTCTCCTCCCTTCCCTCCTCCCTTCCCTCCTCCTCTGTGTAAGATGCAGGCATTCTGTTCTGTATGTCCTCCCCTCCTCCTCTATGTACAGTGAGGGCATTTTGTCCTGTGTCTCCTCCCCTCCACCCTCCTCCATGTACGGTGTGGGCATTCTGTCTTGTGTCTCCTCCCCTTCCTGCTTCTCCATGTACATTGCAGGCATTCTGTCCTGTGTCTCCTCCCCTCCACCGTGTATGGTGCAGGCATTCTGTCCTGTGTCTCCTTCCGCCCCTCCACCCTCCTTCGTGTATGGTGCAGGCATTCTGTCCCGTGTCTCCTCCCCTCCACCCTCATCCGTGTATGGTGCAGGCATTCTGTCCCGTGTCTCCTCCTCTCCACTCTCCTCTGTGTATGGTGTGGGCATTCTGTCCTGTGTCTACTCCCCTTCCTAGTCCTTCATGTATGGCGCGGGCATTCTGTTCTGTGACTCCTCCCCTCCACCTTCTTCCATGTATGGTGCGGGCATTCTGTCCTGTGTCTCCTCCCCTCCCTCCTCCTCTGTGTACGGTGCAGGCATTCTGTTCTGTGTCTCCTCCCTCCTCCTCTGTGTACGGTGCGGGGATTCTGTTCTTTGTCTCCTCCTTCCGCTTCCATGTATGGTGCAGGCATTATGTCCTGTGTCTCCTCCCCTCCCTCCTCCTATGTGTACGGTGCAGGCATTCTGTTCTGTGTCTCCTCCCTCCTCCTCTGTGTATGGTGCGGGTATTCTATTCTGTGTCTCCTCCCTCCTCCTCC